TCCTTGGCCATGTAGATTTGGTGGTAACCCTTGAAGGCATCCATGAAACTTAGGAGTTCGCACCCCGCAGTTTCGTCCACCATTTGATCTGGACTGGGGAGGGGGTATGAATCCATCGGACAAGCCTTGTTCAAGTCCGTATAATCCACACACATTCTCCACGTGTCGCCCTTGGGAGCGAGGACAACGTTGGCCAGCCAATCCGGGTACTTGACTTCCCGGATGTGACCAACACTGAGAAGGTATTTCACTTCCTTCTTGACGAAGTCTCTCCGGTCACTGGCCAGGTACCGCTTCTTTTGGCGTACCGGTCGACTTCTTTCCCTTACAGCCAACCGGTGGCAATTAACAGAGCGATCTATCCCGGGCATATCCGCCACGCTCCATGCGAATATGCCCGCGTATTCTTGGAGGACCCGGGTAATCTGCTCCTTGAGATCCTCGGGGAGATTTACTCCAATTCTGACCATCCTCGAAGAATCACCCGGGTGAAGTTCGATTTCCACCATCTCGGCCTCGGGCTCCAATTTCTCCTGGGTCTCTCCCTTTGTGATCTCTTGGGAGATGACATTGACCCCCTTGGTCATCTTCTTGACTGCCCGGGCATAGCACTCCCGGGCGTTCCTCTGGTCGCCCTTCACCTCACCCACACCACCTGGAGTGTGGAACTTCATGCATAGATGAGGCATGGAAATCACCGCCCCAACTCTATTGATGCCTGGCCTTCCAAGAATTGCGTTGTGGACGCATTTGATGTCCACAACTATGAACTGCATCTTCTTCCACACGGTCTTTTCACCTGATCCTAGTTCGACCGGTAGAACTATGGATCCTTCAGCTTCAACGGTGTCCCCCGTGAAGCCTGAGAGAGGGGTTTTGAGGGGTTCAAGTTGTGTTCGACACAACCTGGGTTTTTGGAAGGTCTCCAGGTATAAGATGTTGACACTGCTGCCGGTGTCAACAAGTACCCGGGCGACATCCACCCCGTTAATGTCCATGGTGATGACCAATGGATCATTGTGATCTTCACCGGTAGGAGGGAGATCCCGGTCAGTAAAGACGATCGGCTCCCTCCTAGTATGTTTATGCCTGGGCGGTTCAGCACTTACCTCTCCAACGTAAATGCTCCGGACCCAGTTCTTCCGCTGCGCGGCTGAATCTCCACCCTCAGGTCCGCCGAAGATCATGCCGATGTGCTCTTTTTCGGGAGCAGGTTGCCGCTCCCTTGGCCGGTTATTCCTCCGCCGGTCGTTCTCCCGGTCGTTCCCTGGGGCAGCTGGCCTAACCCACTGATGACTCTTCTCTTGGGCTTTCTGCAAGTAATCCTTGCCCAGCTCTCCACTGTCTATCATCTGCCGGATTACTCCCTTAATACTCTTACATTCGGAGGTGTTATGGGAATCTGACCTGTGGTACGAACAATAGGTGCCTGACCACTGCCGCCCTACTTGACCGGTAGGGTTTTCTGGAGGAATGACCGGTGCTTTCCGGACTTCTTGGCATTCCTCCGTATTGACCACTCGGATGACGGGGTCATAGTGGTGCCTCGGCCGGCTAGGTCCTGGTGCTTCTTCCTTCTTGACATGCACCGACTTGGACTTGTGACCATGCTCAGCTTCCCTCTTTGCCCGGAGTTGAGTTTCAGCCTCAGCAAACTCCCACGCAGTATGGTAGGCTTCTTGGTACGTGGCTGGAGGTTTTCCAGCAGAACTCCTTGTATAGTTCCCCAGCACGTAAGCCATTCAAGAGGAGGGATAGGACGGTCTTGTCATCTATCTCTTCCACCTTGTCCACCTTTTCCTTCCACCGGGTAAGGAATTGAGTGAGGTTCTCAGACTCCCTCTGCCCGGCTGTACTAAGATAGGTGAACTTCTTCCTCTTAGTACAATTCTCCTAGAACTTGGCCTTGAACTTTGAGGCCAAATCACTGAACGAGTCAATACTTCCCGGGCGAAGCTTATTGAACCATTCGGTGGCTCGGTTCCGCAAGGTCTGGAAGAAAAGTAGGCACTTTTCTTCATCGGTGCAACCGTTCATGGTCGCACTCTGGTTGAAGGAGTCCAGGTGGATTTCTGGATCTTCCTTCCCGGTGAATCTGGGGGCGTCGATCTTGACCTTTCGCGGGAAAGGTGTCAGATGGACCCTTGTGGTGAATGGGGACCCTGCCAGGGGTTTGTCCCGGTCATTCTTCTCTCCGACCTTCTTTTCCAGCCTTTCCAGCTTTGCCTCCATCTGCTGGACGCGGTCGTTTGGGATGGTTAACCGGTTCGCCACCGGTAACCTAGGCTGGCTTTTTGCCTCCCCTTCCTGGTGGGAGGCCCTCGTCCTCGCTGGCTCCTGCCGGTTAGACTGGGAGCGCCGGGTGCGGGCAGGCTCGGCCTCCCGCACCTCGCCTAGCCGGGCGAATGCGCTGACATGGGCAACACTCTGCCCCAGCCTCTGCTTGGCTGACTTCCTCTGGCCTTCCTCCCTATCCCCCAGCCTTTCGAAGGCGGAGTTTCGGGAGGTCGCTGGCCGGATGTTTTTTCCTTTCTTCTTCTTGTGGGCCCTCGGGATGTCCCACTCGCCGTCATCG